TAATTGTCCAAAAAAATAGAAAATGTTAAGAAATGTTTAAGAAATTGACTTCACGATTTTACGTGCTCAGCTTCGGCTTAGGGACGAAAAGCTCTCGATTGAAGGTCGTTTTCTTAAACTCGCCGCGAAAAGAAACGGCACACACTTTTGACAAAGAATTAAAGCGAATGACTGCAGTTTATAACGGCGGTTATTAAGAGCACTGCCAACAATTTCACGAGCCATTGTACCGGCGGACAGTTTAGGAAAGCACTGAATTTACGCGTGCGTGCCGTCGTCGTAAATCCGGTTCCGGAAATCGGCTATGAGGTAATACGTTACTTTATCGAGCTCGCGCTTCTGTGTCGTGCCATGTATATCGTATTCGCTGTATCTATGTACATATCCACTTGCACAACACCTGCATGTATGCATGTCTCATGTGCATATATGACAGAGTGTGCCTCCGCCGGAAGTAGGCCGGTCTCGCCGGCGGCAGCAACGCTAAATTGCGGTACCCGCGCGCTTAACACTGTTAACAGACTGCTACTTCGTTAGTCACCGTCGTCCGCTTAACCTTCGCGGTGACACTTCCAATTGCGTCCAAAAGCTTGTTACAGAAGAGTCGCTCTTTACCGCAAATTTAGCGTAGTGGTGCGGTGGCGTAAAATTGGGCGATCTCAAAAAAACAGTCATTATTGATTTAACCTGTTGTGTGTGTGTGTGTGTGTGTGTTCAAAGATAATTTTGAGAAATGGCTAATAATCTTATAGACTATTGCTAAATTAATTTGATTATTGCATAAGACAGAAAGGCAAAAAACTTTATTAAAGAGCAAAAAAATCAAGATAATTATATAATAACAGAAGTACACGGAGAGAATTTTCTCTTAGAATTTACCATGAAAATCATGGTAATCGTGAGACAATATGCTTGGAATAATTTTATGTTTCTTTGATTAATACTACAATAAAAAATATAAATGTAGTAAATTTTATTATGTACAATATGTACATAGTAAAATTAATTGAACATATTTTATATCTTATTGTGATAGATTATTAATATTTTTATTGTGGCTAATATTAATCAGAGAAACTCTTATAAAATTTTTCCAATACCACATTGTCTCACGATTTTGATGGTAAATTCTAAGAGAAAATTCTTTCTGTGTATTTGTTAGTCAATGTATATGGATATTAGAAAGAGACAAGTTTTTTGACATCTTTTCAAGACATAACATATGTATTTCATCCATATGTATTGATATAGGACAATACAAATCGATTACTTCGCTTATTGCGAAGAAGGAGGTCACGAATTACAACCGAGAATAGTCGCGGTCTAACTTTGATCTTGTTTCGGAAGCGGGCCGCGAATTTCGAAATTGGAATTCTCGGTCAGATAGCACGTACGATCTCGGGCTCCGGTGGTTAATGCAGTAATACCCAACAGGTTATGGATTTATCCGATCGGTTTATATACACGTGTGTACACCGTCATAACCGATATAACCGTGGAACGCGGAACAATTGTTCATTCGCGCACTCTATACACAGCCATCAAAATAATCATTCCATTACACCGCAGAAATATCTTCCTCTCATTCGACGTCTTTCACTTCGTTCGCCTATTTCTCGTTTCGTATTTTTTGTTTGTACATACAATCGCCCATGCATTCGCCATTTGTCACAGAATATTATGCATTGCGCGACCACGCGTACTCGACCGGCATAAGGAACATCGATATATACTCAAGTTTGGATATTACTGGTGTTTTATCGCTTCGCGCGGTCCACCGAGTTCCAGAGTTAACTCCGATCACGCTCGCGAGCTCCCGAGCAGAGAGTTAGAAAATCGCTCGGCTGACTCTCGAATCTAATGCGCGATTTACTGGCGGACCATGCGGAACCATAGATTACGGTTAATATCCCAGAATCGAACTTCAATGATAAAGAAACTTCCATGTGATGAGCGTTAACTCTCTTCAGTAGCTCTCAGAAGCCACCGACTTAATATCATGCACTGAAAAAAAATTTATTGAATTCGAATAAGTATATTTATTTCAATACTGCCCAATGAATTATAATATTTATTTGAAGCTAATACTATTGATTTAATATGCAAAATATTTATTTGATATAAGAAAATCTTTTTCAAAACGAATAAAACATTTATTTTATTTCAAATAAATGATTCATTTGGGAGTATTCAAATAAATATTTATTAATTTAGTCATTTTTTTTCAGTGCGTTTGTGTCAAGTGTATCAATTTTTATCTCATTCTATGTTTTATTTATTTAACATAATAATGGTTAATGACAGTTAACATAATTCTAATAATAATTATAAAAAATTATTATTATAAAAAATCTTTTAAATGTATGTGTGTATAATTCTAAGTAATGTGCAATTTACGTACGCTAACATCACTTTTTTTATCATACGCGATTTTTCAGTCAAAAACAAATATACATAAAAGACGAGTAGATATAACTCTGAATTCTAAAAGTACACTATATTTCAGTAAATTTTTAACGCATTGTGAAAACTTTATATTAGATTTTAACTACGTATTTTTTTCAATTTTATTTTCACAGTAAAATGCATTTATTTTCATTGTTTCTTCTATTCTGATGCATCACGAATTATGGAAAGTATGCCTAACATTTTAATGCATTAACATTTACTTGAGAGCCAAGTAAAAATATTCGCATGCATATATGAAATGCATTATACGAGAAAAAAAATTTTAGGCCGTAACGATGTTAATGTATGTTGCAGTTTATACTTATGCCGCAATTAATGGAATTACATGAAAGTTTCTGCTCGATTTGAAGCGCCAAGTTCTGTCGTACATATGTAAATATGGTCATTATCCAGCGGAATTAAACCATTCGTCATAGCTGCGTGAATTAATTAGTTAAGCGAGAGATAACTTTTGTATGTATTAAATACATCACAAATAATATACGGCAATTTTCTTTCGCGGTCGCGGCGACGTTAATAATCGCTTTAATTACGCGACATATTCGATTATGCATTGCACTCTATTGCACATAGATGGTATACATTACAACTAACAATTATAAATTTTAAATGATTAATACAGTGCAAATTAATTACATACATTCGTATATAACTTGCAACGGATGGTGATGTAATTACTGCGTATAATCGGCTTTGGGATTGTAATGTCAGATTACACGACCTCCCCTCGGCTAAACCTTTTTCCATCCCTACCATCGTTATCGATTGCCGACTATTTCTGATCAACTTGTACGAGAACATGAATAGTTGGTTACAGGAGACAACCGAGAGAACTATAAAGAGCGTCCGAAATACACAAACATAATGTACCCATCATGTGGTTTACATGCGAATACAACGGGTATAGGAAATTGAATAACATGAAAATGGCGGGTATCGACATCGCGGATTCTACGGTGAACAATTCTACGTACTCTAATCAAAACGCATGGCATTCGTTTTGTATGTATTGAAACGAGCCAATCAAGCTGATGAGACGTACATACAATGTGCAATGTACATGTGTGTCTTGTGCACAGAATATTCAAACTTTTTTTCAAATGAGAAATGCAAAGAACTATACTTACTAATTAATTGCTGTGAATTTCAATTAAAATTAATTTGAAACTCAATTCATTAATGAAAATTAAATTTACATTAAATTCAAATTCAAATTGTCGTTTTAAATATAAATGTTAAATAACATTCGCATTTTGAAACAATAATTAACTGCTCAGTATGACAAACTTAATGAATCACAAAGTAATTATTGATCAATACGCAATTTTGTGAACATTCAATACTTACCATTTCTTAAATGTCAAATTTGTTTTACATCATATAATGTAATATATTGTTAAATATTTTAAATTAAAATATATAAAAGAGATATATAAGATATATAATATATTAAAGTATATAAAAAAATCATAAAAATATTTGCGTTATAAAAAAACATCAATTTAAAAATTTCAGAACGATAATTAGTTAGTCATCCTTCGAGAAAAAATGTTTCTCGTATAACGACTCTGTAATCACGTTCTCCTAAATAATTTTAACATTTGCTATAATTTATTAACTCTAACTAATTTTTTTATTTAATTCTATATCTTTTTTTTCTTACATTAACTTATCATCTTTATTATACAAATATATAGATTTATATTTATTTGTGTAGTATATTCTTTTATGGTAAACGTAGAAAATGTTTTAATGAAAATTTTATTTTAAAAAATAATAAAATATTATATAACTACTATTATATTTTTTAAATATTATTTCTGGGTATTTCTGTATTTTATCTCCTATTCAAACACATACAATTAACAATATAAATCGATATTATAACAAGAATAGCAAAATAAAAAAAAACAAATTGTTGTTACACATTCTTTTGTATTTTCAAATAATTGTTGCAGTTCAACTTTCATTAATAAATTGCATATATTCAAGCAAAACGGAAATTTAAAAAATGTAAAGAAGAAAGAGAAATTCATAAATAAGAAATTCGTTTTAGATTTGTCTATTCACAATAATAATTCATATTGAACATTATGAATATCCACTTATACTGTACAATTACACACAATCAAGTTAGATTATCTAATAATATAATTAAATTAACATTATATATATATATATATATATTTCATAATATTTAGATATTCATAGTATTTTATAGAAAAATTTATAAACAAATTTTAAAATATGTATTCTGTATACAAAAATCATGAATATGTATACAAAAATCATCTTTAACGTATATATGTGTACTAATCTTTAACATATTTAAATTAATGTCTTGAATTTTTAGTATGTTTAAATTTTTTAAAAGCTCAAATAATAACAATTCTGAATCTAATAAGTTAAATTTCAATAAATAATATATATATATATATATATATATATATATATATCAATTTAAATTTCATATTTAAATTTTAATGTTTTATAATTATAATTAAATAATTTATATATTAAATATTACTCACCATAATGATGATACGTCTAATGATATAACAGCGGTTGAAAACTGGAAACTGGAAAACTGGAATCTATAAACACAAAATAATTTTTAATAAGTTATATTGTTATTTTATAATATGTTTTTAATATATTTTTTAATATTTTGATTAAATATACATATACACATATAGAAAATTAAAAATTCTTTCAATATTAATTATTTTTAACGTTAAGAAACAGGTTACTAATAACAATTAAAATAACAATATGTAATATTTAGAGATAGTATAATTAATAATATTGAAGTGAATGATATTAATATTCGTCTGTTAAAACATGATCATTAATGACGCTACGTTAAATTGTCGCAATAAAAAGAACATTGTGAGAACACGATAAATAAATATAAATATTTACCAATCAATGTATGCAGTCACCGCAATTACTCTGTTCGAACGAATCAATCAAGAAAAATCGCGGCTAATTACGCTCATGCGCGTTAATTACTAACACGGTACGGCAATCACTCTACGGTACGGCACTCCCGATACAAATTATACACGCGACTCATTTTGAAACGCGCAAATCGTGAATAACGTGAAATGCAATAATCGTCTGCCTCTACGATCAACACTGCAAATTTTCGTGACACGTTTCAAATGAATATAATACGAAGGATTTGAATATAATGTGTACTTATTTTAGATCAATACATTGGCGACAGTATTTTACTTCGAAATGTAAGCCGGTATGTTGGTATTACGCAAGTGAGAAGAAACTATTAATTATGATGTATCTCTCTCACCTCTCTCTCTCTCTCTCTCTCACATACACACATACATAATGACTCACAATCTGCAAATATCTTATATATAATTGCTTTATAATAATTAATTACGTAATCGCAGAATAAATATCATGAATTATTAACAAATTAATATAATCAATTACTGTAAATATCTTAATTTCGGTCAATTTCGACGCGTGTATTACGAAATGATAGCTCGGTAAATTAAGCGCGGATTGGTGTGAATAGCGGCGATTAGCAACCACGAATATTAAACATAATATCGCGCACACACGATGCAATTTACCATTAATTTAACGCACTAGCATAATCGATTCGACACTCCCGACACTCGCGTTCGCACGTAAATTTAGGTTGCGAGCGGATAAAGCGCGCGGAACTGCCTCGGCGTCGCCTTGGCGATGATGCACTCGGCGGGAAAATGACACTACGCGAGTCAAGCGGGAGACTGTCATGGCGCCTTGACGATGACGCGCTTGGCGGGAAAGTGACACTACGCTAGGCAAGCGAGAAACTGTCATGGCGTGTCGATCACAAATACACATGCAATACGATGCATATTGAATCTGAGTATAAATACCTTGCACCTTGTACGATTAATTATACAATCATGATAATTAGCGCAAAATAAATGCATTTATTACTATTGAATATCTTAATTCAGCACTCCCGACGTGAAATATAATATACGCTCGAAATAGAGAATGTACACGAGCGCTACCATAAATACCGCCAATTAGCGGCAGCGAATGTTAAACATAATCGTACGATCTAATTTAACGCTAATTTAACATACTAGAATAATTGATTCGACACTCCCGGCACTCGCGCGTTCGCGTGAATTTAGATTCCGACCAAAATCCGGATAAAACGTTCGAAATATACGGAAACTATACAGAGCTGTCTCGTCACTCCAACATTCCGAATTCCGACGTCCGACAGTGACAGCTAGTGACACTACGCGAGTCGAGCGAGAACTATCATGATCACGTGATGTCAATCACGTGATATATATATATATATATATATATATATATATATGTAAAAAAAAAACGCATGCTGAGCATCGAAATTTTAATAGTTCCATAGATGAGATAAAAAACGCTTGTCGCGTGACAAAAAGCGACACAGTAACAGTAACTAATCAACCTTTTGCTTTTAAAAAGCGGTAAATTAATTGGCCATTGCGTCGCTCTTTGTCTGTGTGAACGATGAAAGCTCAATTAGATACGATGCATCATCACAATGAATGATGCATATGATACATGGATGAACGTTCGTCTATCGAATAATTAATTTCCCGGGAAAAATATTTTATATATAATTATATGTGAAATATGTCTATTTTTATACATAATTATATAAATTTATATATATAATCTATAAGGGTTCATGTCAAATTATATATGATACATATATATATATATTTATATATAAAGAAATATTTATTATATATTTATAAATTTATATAATTATATATAAAAAGCACTTTTAGCTAATTATATATGGACATATTACATATATAATTTTGCGATTATATTATGAAAGCTTAATTAGACACGATGCATCATTACAATGAATGATGCATATAATACATGTGTGGATGAACGTTCGTCTATCGAATGATTAATATCCCGGGAAAAAATTTTATATATATAATTATATGTAAAATATGTCTATTTTTATACATAATTATATAAATTTATATATATAATCTATAAGGGTTCATGTCAAATTATATATGAAACATATATATTTATATATGCAGAAATACTTATTTATTATATATATATATATATAAATTTATATAATTATATATAAAAAGCACTTTTAACTAATTATGTATGGACATATCCCTAACAGCACACGTATCCCAGGATGTCCTGAAGATGTTCGGATGTCTTCTGGATGTCCTCTGGATGTCTCTCGGATGTGTCGTGCTGTTAGGGATTTCATATATAATTTTGCGATTATATGTATAATTGTATATATTTTTATATATAACTTTATATTGTTATATATAAAAATTTTTTCACGAGTTTACATTACTCCATTATATTATTTCTTGTCATTAATTATATATGTATATTATAAATATCTGGACCATTAATAACAATTATAAATCATAAATGAAGATTATGTTCCACTTAAGAACACACTGCGAGTGCTTAGAATTATCGATTATATCGATTGATCGAAATTTATCTCGATTATAATATACATATATGTATATATTAACAAATATAATATTTGGCATAAAATTATTAACAGCATAAATTTTTATTAATCTTTTCTTTATTATGTCATTCGAGATATAATTATTTTTTTATCTAGAATCTAGAAAATACTTCTGTTTCGCGAGTCGCGAATTGTTGACTTGATTCACGTAGTCACGTTACGCATCTAATTCGCCGTACTTCACGCTGTTAATTCAACATGGCGGTGGGATCGTTTCCATGGGTGTTTCGCGCGTTTTTCGCCGGTCGCAAATGAATGTGAGCGAGTCTCGGGAGTGCCGATTCGAGTGATACTTAGTCACGATGATGTGATGAACAACTATATTAGGGTAAGTTGTCGCAGATATCACGTCAATTTCGATATTCGCGACCGGTATGTTCTTTCCTCCGAACTCAAGATTGCATCCGTGCGATTCACGTCGCGGACGAACACTTTGCTTCGCGTATCAAGCTGGTCTCGATCGAGAAAGGATATTCCTCGAGTTCCTTTGCATTGCATATATCAGACTTCGGAAGGGCCAAGCAATTGTAAGGTATTACATCAGTTTATAGCAAAATCAGAGATCAACAGAGACAGAAAGAAAGGAAGAGGAGAAAAGAGTCTATCCTCTTTAATTTTCTCTCTCCGAATTTTAGTATGGACAATGCATGATGCAATTTTTGACAATACGTGGATAAGATAAATACGGATGTGTAAACAAACTTGAAGCCTGGTATACATATATATATTTTCGCGGTTTTTTACAGTCGAATCATGAGCGAAAGTGATTTGGAAGTGACAAGGAAGTGGGTGAAAGGAAGAACTAAGATCCGATAAAGCAGGATAATGGAAAAAGCAGAGAAGTGATCTCTCTCTTCCCTCGCCTCGATTTCCGCTTTGAAGCAGGAAGTGATGACAACATATCTAGAGCTGGTATTATTATTTATTATGTCCACGAAAAAAATTGTTTGACAGTTTGTTATAACATCATTTATTATAACAATTATTATACGTTTTAACAGGTGATTCCTCCATTTATATAATATTTACTTGCAATTTCGTTCTGTAAGAATTAATATGCTATCACTTTCTTATTCTTTCTTTAGAGATGTGAATTAAAAAATAACTAAAATCCTTTTCTTTAATTTTTATTTGAAAACTCTTATGTATAGTTGAAAAAACTTATCTATATCAGTTTTGTTTTATTTTACATATGAGTACATATGAGAATAATTTGCAATATAAGAAAACAAAATATATTTTTTTTTTATTTAATTCAAATTTAGAATCTATTCTATGTTTTATGATTCCATGATGAACACTTCAATTTTTATCATTTTATTATATTCTTTTTCTAATTATTACATTTTATATTTTTTAATTCAAGTACATCAATTACATTTAATGCAATGATGTGTGTGCAAAAGGAAGAATTAGGATCTAATGAAGCAGGATAATGGCAAAAGCAAAGAAGTGATCTCCTCTTGCCTACTTTTCATCTATAAAACAGAAAATGATGATAGCATATTCAAAGCTAGTGAGTACTATTATTTATTATTTATGTTTACGAAATAATTGTTCAACAGTTTGTTATAACATCGTTTTTTATAACATAATTCTTGCTTTTTGACAAGTAATTGCTTCATTCATATATTTTATTTTACTTGTGATTTCATTCTGCAAGAATTAATACTATCAATATTTATTCTTTTTTTTACAAGTGTGAATTGAAATAAGAAAAATCTTTTTTTTTTTAATTGAAGAATTTCTTATATATACACATATGCATATTTAAAATTCTTTATATTAATTTTGTTTTATTCTACATATATGCACATATGATCATAATTTTCAATATAACAAAACAAAATATATGTTCTTTTTATTATTTAATTAAATCCAAATTTAAAATGTATCTATATTCCATGATTTCATGATTAATACTTAAATTTTTACCATTTTATCATATTTTTTTCTTACGATTGCATTTTATACTTTTTATTTATATGTATTTTATATATTTTAGTTCAAGTACATCAATTACATTTAATGTAATGACAAGTGTATGAAAGGAAGAACTAGAATCCGATGGAGCAGGATAATGGAAAAAGCAAAGAAGTGATCTCTTCTCGTCCGTTTTTCCTTTATAAAGTAGGAAGTGATGGCAGCATATCTCTAGAGCTAGTGAGTATTATTTATTATTTATGCCCACAAAAAATTGTTCGACAATTTATTGAATACGTCGCATTAAATGTAATTGATATACTTGAATATTAAATGTAATCGTAACCGAAAAATCCTGTTAGAAAAACTTTCGTAACTAAATTATTTTAAAAGAAATAAATATAACTGAGAGATTGGTAATTAATCACCTAACTATTGTGCTATCATAAAATAACTAGATTTTATTATTTGTTATTAAATTGAAATTTTTTATCAAAAATTCATAGTTTTATTATAACAAAAATATCGCGCAATTTTCAAGGTAATTTGAACATTTCAAAGCAAAAGAGAAGATTCGAAAAAGATGGCCAAAGTTCTGCGTTTCGTTTCGGTGAACCCGAAAGCCTGATCGAGCCGAACTTTGATGCACGAGCGAGATCAGCTTTCGATTTGAGGTTAAAACAACAAATTCTTCTCGTTTCCTGCCTCTTCCTTTCTCGTCGCGGTGGTTATGGCAGCAAGAGTATCTGTTATCGTTATATGATGCGGAAAAATTGACTATAGGTACCCTCCCTCACCATGTTTTTTTCTTCTTTTTACGTCACGGTTGGCGATACACGCTATTTTCAGTATAGAAATATTTTCTTATCACAAGCAGACTTTCTTTTTCAGTAAGATTTTCACAAACATATTCTCTTTTCTGGAAATATTTTTATATGATAAATTATTAAGCACAAATTAAATGCTTGCATTTGATTATTTTATTGCTTTTATTTATTTTAAAATATAATTGTTTATTAATTCTTTTTAATGTTACAAAGTTATTCAGTAAAATATTTATTAAAATATGACCTATAATAATAATTATATATTGATTATTCACTAGATTGTACATTTTATTTCATTCGAAAAATCTACATACAATACATTAATATTGTAGTAATTTTAATTAAATTTTAATATTATGTAATATTAATATACATTAACGTTTTTTTATTTAAATTTATATTATACAATATGTCTGAAGATAAAGTGCAATACTATTCATTATTTCCAAAATTAAATTAGGACATTATGTGATCATATATAGGAATTAAATAAAACAAATCAAAATAATGAAAACAAATTTTATGAAAAATCTTTTTTTAATACGCCAACGAAATATATCTCACTTATGCTAAAATTATTTATATCCATTTTCTCGTTGCAGATTAACCTGGAAAGAATTTAACGATACCATGTTCGATTTTCGTTAACCCATAAAATGCCGTAACATTCGAAGAAAGACGCTTGTTACATGTAAGGCCGCCGCATCGGGAAAAGTATCAGGTGAGTTCCTGCCCAGCGCAGTATGTAATAGATTAACCCATTTTTACGTAATACCTCATGACGTGTCACATATGTCACATTTGCATATCATATGTATGTGTCGTCACTAGTTCCCCGTAGATGCGGAAGTGTAATCAATCAAATCGCGTTGGTCCTTTGGATGTTCCTTGGGGAACAGAATGACGTATGGATAGCTCGATTTAAAAACGAATTATATTGGAACCCCACGCGCTGAAAGTACATTATTTGAATTATTTGCGAGAAAAACGAGTTTGAGAATTTTGTTTAATTTTTACTGTATATACGTTGCATTTTTTCATAGAAAGTAAAATGTATAAAATAATATTTCATGGTTAAAGCATTTAATAAAAAATAAAAGAATAATAACTGATATTTAAAATATACAATTTCTAAATCGAAAATATATAATTGAACATTGGAATTTATATTAAAATTATAATATAGTAAATACTACAAATAATTGTACAAATTATATGTATAATAGATGATAGATTAAATTATAAATACATTTATCAAACTGAATAAGAAAAAAGTAAACAATATAATTCGTTTTTGTATGATATTTTATTAATAGAAGAGCTATTAATATTCGAAACAATTTATTCTCAATTGCTCAATTGCTAATAATAATGCACAATGAAATCAGATGGTTAATAAATCTAGTATCACACATATGCTTCTGTAATTCTAATAATTTTTTTATTATAATACAGAAATGAGAATATAATTAATACAGAAACGAATATAATAATAATACGTCGGTCAACAATTAATTTAATGCGCACGAAATAATACGGATAGTAATGGTTCATCCTTAAGTATCAAATAAAATTACAAATCATATAGAAGTAGGGAAGGAATATATTTACAGTTAACGATGAGTTAGCATTAATCGAATTTGCAATTGATCAGGTATAGGACAATGTCGCCGCCCATTCAATATTTCGCGACAAATTTTTATACGATTTTATATTATCTCGCATGAGGATGAAAGGAGAAATAGGCTTCGATAATTAGCAGAATTTAAAAGCACCTCTCTTCAGTTTCTTTGCACTACTCACTAGGCAATTATCGGCAAATAAAATCGCGCGATTGGTTAATTTAAAAGCTCTCCATTTTGATTCCTTTTCTTCATTCCCTTATATTCAGGTTGGTAAAATCGATGAACGTCTATAATGGACGTTCATCATGAAAATAATTTCGTTGTGAATTCTATGAGTTTCGTTTTATATGTATATATATATATATGTATATATATATATATATATATATATATGTATGTATATGTATATGTATATACATATGTATGTATGTATGTATGTATGTATGTATATTACTAGAAATATTTCGTTAAATTACACACGATTTTATTACAGAAATATATATAATTGCTTGTTTAAACTTGTTAATACAATTGTACTTCGTTTTATAAGATGATTCGAGGTCGATTACTCGCTATTATTTTCTTGAATCGATGACTACACATTCATAAAAATTTGTACATAATCTCTGAATTAATACATTTCATATTTTTATATTTTATCGCATTTTTTAAGACTTGAAAAAATTTTTGTAACATTTGGTCTCTATCTTTTAATAAAGTAGATTGCAACATTTTTATTCCAAGTGAATAAAGAAAAATATTTAAAAACTTTTATAATAGAAAAATATAAGCTAGCTTTTTCATTACATTATTGAATATATTAGCTGTGCAAGCTATTTGTTATTTAGTTAACAGAAATAACGAGAAAGTTCTCTCTGTGTTAAAATTATATTGATTCGGTACAATAATTATTACACAGAAGCGTAATACACGTTTCTATTTATTTATATTTATTTCCAAGCACGTATTCTTCTTGCTGTTTGTTTTTCTGCATTGGTGAAATTTTTTAAAAATATTGCAATGTCCACCAGTATAGTAATAATATATTATACTCTGTATTCTGATAATATCTTAGAAATTTCAGGTGCGTGAAAATATAATCAAAGTAGATGACAGACAATTTGATGGCACTAGGCGTGAACCACGTGGGTACCTCTCTTCTCGCGAGAACTGTATATTTTCCGGTACATGCGCGACGAAGCGGTACTTCATACGGTGCAGAATACACTTTCTATTGTTCTGCTCGCCCTCGCATAATCTGTTTCTCGAAAGACCAGTAGTAATGTCAGTACGTAATGCGGCTCTTTTGTATGCAACGCGCGGCTACCGTTGTCGCGTCGCGCGCGAGATATTTTCCGGAATTTCCGAGTAAAAACGGAGCGCGCGCGAAATCGCGCTCTGATACCGTCGCCTCGCACCAACCGCTCTATATTATGCACGCAATAATTCGCATTCCAACCGCGAAATAACGTGACGGTGTCCAGTCAGTCGCCATTCGCCGCAATAACGATTATTATCACGCGTCGTAAAAACTAGAAGTTAGCAAGCACTTTGGGTAATATGTCTACGATATTATATTTCCGGGCTCGCTCCGGTTTTTTTATTTACTTTTTTTTTTTTGATAACTTTTGCAGCTCGTTAGTGAGCAATGAAAAATGTTGAGACATTAATAATATTTGATTTATAAATATTTGAAAATACTTTTTATTAATTATCAAATCAAAGAAATATATAAGAAAGTTCTAGTATTTATTTAATTTTAAATAGATTCTACTTTTTTAACACACCTTTATATTTTAGATTTATTTATTTCAAGATTTATTTTAAACATCGAAAATTAGTAAGTTACAGACAATAGTGAAAGAATTTCAAAATTTAATATTGAGATAAATATTTTTTGTTCATGAATGATCATGATTTAGAATTCTGAAAAAGAGATATATTGATTAAGCTAATTATGTGTATTTTACAATTTATTTGAGAGTAGAAATATACATTTAACTTGTTTAGTTTTTAAGAATGCAATAAATGCATCGAACTATATCTTGATTTACTGGATAATTTTTCTCTTTAAGAATACTGCGATTCTCACACGAGTTTTCATATTTCATCTTCGGAGGAGTTTCTCTACAATCGAAATAAATTGCGTCCACAAAATGCATTTTCGTTGTGATGTTGGCGACATTGGCTGAGAGATATTTTCTCGAATACGAAAACTTCTGTGATGCTGCTACAAGTGCATTCCCTGCTAGAAATTACGTTAGAAAGCATGACATAATTTCTCTGTTTGCTCCAGATAGTTGACAAATCTACAGCAATATACTGCACAAATTAGATGAATACCGTTAAAAAAAACGTAGATTAAAACAAGAAATGGTTACGATTTTTTTATTAATTTTATTTTATAAATTCAAAACTTATTGTTAGTTTTACTTCAGTTTAAAGAAATAATAAATGTTTTATTATATAATTAGATTCAAGTGCTAGAGATTGCTTCATATCCGAATGCCTATATATATATATATATATCTTATTAATTAATAGTATTTTAATTCCTTCTGAATTAGTCGTACATTTCAGTCTCTCTCTGTCAGAAAATTTATATTGTAAATTCAGAGATCAAATATTTTTTGTTCTTGTATAAAAACAAATTTAATTGTTAAATTTATTTACAATTAAAAATGTCTCTTTATCATTTATATAAATAATTTTCGATTCCAATATCGGATAAAGATATCTCGTATGTGGATATATTTATGCAAAAATTCAATTTTCGGAAAATTTAATATTAATTTAGAAATGAACAGTTCAATTAACGCACGTCATTCAACATCACTGATTGTATCAGTAGGAGGTTTTTCAATATACGAATTCATCTATTCGTCAATCATCGGCGCTTATATGTATATGTAGTCTATCTCTCGAATCATTTTACCTTATCAATTTACATTATACAGCACACAACCGCAAAATATGCGGTGCACCTTTATGCTACTGGAATGCGAAAGGCCAAAGTATGAGCGGTGGGATAGGTGCTATGGCATTTAGGGTATACAATACCGCAAGTTAAACGATCAGAAACGCGCACATTGATGAGACGTTGGATAATTTTCGAGAGTTTTGTTTATTCTGTTTCAGTTTTGATATAATTCTGACATAGTTATATATTCTCGAAAGGATTCTAATCATAGAATTAAAATATTTTTTAAATTTATTCCACTCGAGAAAGACGTACCGGTATTATATTAGACGCTGATCGATTTTAAAGAGTTTTATTTAATTTACAATGTAATTATTGCAATTTTTGTTAGTATAATTTTGAGAATATCTATTCATTTTTAAAGAGTTTTAATCATTAGCAGAATTAAAATATTTCGAATTTACGAATTAATGTATTCAGCAGAATTATTTTCTTTTTAGAAAATTGCAACAATATAATATGATATCAATTGTAATCAATTTTAGAAAGATAATAAGTAATTTAAAAAATAATAATTATTTTCTTTTGAAATAATAGATTTACTTTTAATTCGTTCACTTTTGTTATAAATTATATAAAATATTAACAGTGTTATTATTTTAAATAAAATATTAAAATTTTTTATATCAATAGAATCATGTTAGTTATAATTTTTTTTTTTTTTTAATGAATTAGTCACTCTTTTTAATTGTTCTAATATTTTAAATTGATTGTAATAATATTTTAAATTGATAAGTTTATTTGTAAAAAATAAATTTCTCTTTATTTTACCGTGTTACGAAACAAGCTTGATCATTATTAGCATTCGTTTTCCAATTTCCTTCTCTTATACGTTCGTTACGTGATTAGTATAAGAACGAACAAAGCGATAAAAAAAAAGATGAACTCGGTCAACCGATTGAGCGTTTTTACGACAGCGATCGATCGAAGTCCAACGATCACGAACGATACTACGAAGCACTCTTAGTAATGCTGTGAGTTTCACTTCTTTTTTACGCTTGAACAAAGTCCAGAAAGAAATATCCTTTACTTATACAGCGATCAAAAAAATTCGAATGTTTTTTAACATCATCCTTGCCCCTAAAAGTCGCTGTCGTTGTAATTTCTGGTAAGAAAAACGCGTAGCATCGACCGTAAAACTGCAACCTATACCATCTTTTTCTTTCTTGAATGCGAAGAAAACTAGACGGGACACGAAGGACAAGGAGAAAGTTTACTCGAGCGAAGGTTTTCCGCAGGGATCACGAAGGTAGCTTTTCTTTTTGAGATCCACGCGAGATCCTTGCTCTTGAAGATCCACACGGCGCGTTGCTTCTTTATCTTGAAATCAAATCTTCAAAGATAACGCTGTTCCTTTATACTCGTGATCTCACGTATCTCGTATAGGACTAGAGTACCACGTCAAAGTCATAGCAAAGTCGAATTGAACACGCAACGAATCATGGTTTTTACAGTATGAATGCTATTAAGTTTTGGCAGCAAAGTATTTTTTTTTAAATTACAATAGCTAATTAATCTTTCATAACATTAAGTTTTTAATAGGAAATTTTTACATTTTATTTTCTAATATAACGTGCAATTAAATCGCTTCCGAAAAAATATACTAACTTTTTGTGGCACGTCACAGTTTCTGAAAATTTATTTCTATTATGGAATTTTATAGTTCCTCAATAGTTCTACTCTATATTAGTTTTTACATGTTTCTGGCATGTTTCAATAAAATTTGTAATTATATTTTTAAACGATATTTTAATCTCGTTGCGATTATCTCATTTTTATGAATTATGCGATGCTAACTATTTAATTCTATGAGTTTTCTTTGTCTCATTTGATATTACTATAGAATATAATTTATTTGGGGCAAATGCAATTTTTTGGGTCAATTATATATCTTCATATTTATAATCAGAATAATATAAATAATTATTGACTTGATAGTTTAAACAAATAGTTCTAGATTTAATCAAAGAAAATGCCTAAGGACAAATTAATATGCAGTTTTACGCAGCGTGTGTTACTTTATCCTACATTTTCCGTATCAGTAATAGCAGAATTTAAAAAATTTATAATTCTACAGTTCTAAAAAGAATTTTTCCTTCTAAAAATATATTAATTAAACTAAAAAAAATATAAGCTAAAATAAAAACAACCTAATATTATCTATAGATATTGAAATTATAGATGTCAGTCTCGATTTTCGAGAATTATACTTATTTTAAAGCTACATATATCTTTTTGAAGAAATCTCCTTCGAGTTTTAATTAATTATTAATACATTGAAAAAGCTATTGATTTAAAATAAATATGTATTTCAAATAGTGTCATTAACACCATTTATTTAAAACAAATATTTATCTGTTTTGAGAAAGTTTTTCTTATATCAAATAAAAGTATTTTTTCACGGCAAATTAGTATTATTAATTTTAAACAAATAGTGTTAATGGCACTATTGAAATAGATATTGATTTGAAATCAATAGCTTTTTTGCAGTGTATTGAGTCATTTATAATTTCGCGCGCGCTATTAGAATGAAGTTGCCGCTGTTTGAACAGCGACTAGCTTCACCCATTACCGCGAGTATACAGGCAGTTCGAGCTGCATCCCGCTGCGACTAATTAGTAAGCATAATTGTTTCTAATATTTGTATTGTAATATTTATCAATCGCAAATCGTAATTTCCACGTATGTAGTCGTAATTGTTCGAAACGAAACACATATTTTGCGAGAAATTCGACGCAAAATCTCTTGCCAACAAGCAACATAACCCAACCTAATCTGTTTTCGCGCGCGCGAGAATCTATTGCGATTCGTGAATACATCGTTAATTCCAGCTTACATATTTATATTGTGTATATTATAATGCGAAATAATAAGATTATTCTAATATATGTGTGTATTTTATTTGTTACAGATTGCGATATACAGTGCGATTCACGCGTCGTGTCGGGAGTGTCGTGTAAAGTTTTATTATGCGTCGGGAGTGCCGTGTAAAGTGTCGGGCGATCGTAATTATTCGTGTTTTCGCGAGTGTCGTGAGTGCTACGAAGGACCAAAAGAGGAGGAGGAGGCCTGGGAAGAGGCATCGGGCGACAGCGGGGCAACTATGAGGTACGCAAAATAAAAAATATTTTTCCTAACTGCATTGTTTATGAGATATTCCAAATCGTTAACAGACTTTCAAAACACTCTGTATATATGTATTTTATACGTATACACGTACATGTATATACATAATTCGAATATTTTGTTTTCAGATCCATGTGCCTGTGTATTCCAACTCCGCTTTTGCAGTTGTATCGGTGCTGTTGTATCGGTGAGTGAGAAATCAGTGAGTTGTTTATTTTATAATATTTCTATAGCGGGATATTTCTATAATAGGGATGTGTAAAGCGTTTCAGTTCGTGAAATAACACCATAAATAATTGAGAGTTCTGGTTTTATTTTCACGATTGTTTTAGAGTTCTTAATAAATCAAACAAATAACTTTGACGATTAAACCAAAGAAAATGTCTAAGGACAAACTGATACATTTTTCTTATAAATATATAATAATTATTCTTTAAAAGATTTATAGTTCTACAAAAGTTTTACAAATAAGAAATGTTAATTATGTACGTATGTATCAAAAATTTATATATGTGTATATACATATTTTTGAAATAGCGTTTTTATATAGAGATTAGCTGGCTTATTTTTGCTCACGGAAATCACTTCATGCTTGTCTGTTATGGAAAAGTAGATATAATCTAAAGACACATATATATTTATATATTTGTGTATCTATGTTTGTGTATGTTTACGTGTATATGTGTATTTATGTTTGTGTGCGTTTGTGTATGTGTGCCTTTGATTATACTTTTGCACAATAGATGAAGATAAACCGAAGTGATTTCCCGAGAGCGAAAATGTAGCAGCTATGTATATAAGAAATTATTTCAAAAATATATGTACTCACAATTAGTTTGGGGATTGATTAGTGTCAGGGAACTGTGATCAACAAGGCGGTTCTCCCAGGTCTGTAATCAGGAGATTAGACATATAATTTTGGTAGTGTGGGGAGGCAACTCCCCATCAATTAAGTGAAGACAAATTATAATGAGCTGTAAGCGTGGCAAATGTCAGACGAGAACAGCTGATCAGCTGTCCTGGCGGCTCGAATTCAGATTTTCTAATTTCGAGACAACTGCTTTTGATCACGGCGGTACACTGCAGTAAAATTATGTAAAACTACGTAAATAATAAGTGTAATTTTAAATTAAACTAAATAAACATCAGCAAATCTCTTACTTAAAATCAAAGTAAAATACCACTCGATTTTTGACAATTTTGTTTATTACGAAATAATTCTGTTATAGCTCTGAGCATATATAAAATGCCTTTCCAAATTTTTTTATTCGAAAATTAAACTAGTGAAAATAAAGTCAGAATTGTCAACTATTTATAATCTTCCACGATATGTTATGCTCTTTACATACATTTTTTATAACAAGATGTTTACTTGTTTACTTGTCATTTAATTATGTGTAGACTAATTTATAATTTAAATAATTCTTATAATTTTATCATATTTTAAAAATGCAACACGGTTAAGATACTTGTGTTGCTAAATGATATTTCATTGCTAACAACGTTTAAAACTTGCGTTTTACAAGAGTTACCGAAAAAGTCATATTTATAACAAATCAAAATATAATTAAATAATCAAGATTAATCAAAATTAATATATTCTATTATATATACTTTTTACTATAAAATATAAGAAACTTTATTAACTGATTTGTCACCCAACTTTATTAACTGATTTGATATATTTTAAATTACAAATTAAAAGGCTATTTGAAATTCTTTTTAATTTGCTCCAAAAATTTCTGAAACATTTTTATATGTAAATGAGTTTTTTTTTAAATTCTTTTTTTAATTCAATGACTGTTTTCTCTTTTTTGAATATAATATTTCGATTGGCACAAGAATGTCGATTTAAATTTGTGATATATCGAAATCGATTTGGCAATGTAACGGTAACGTCTTGTTGTCTACACCGGATGTGCATATAGCGACGATGCAGTCGCCAAACATTTTGCACTAAATCGCATCGCGTGCACACATTTCAAGCACCCACAAGCGTAAGTATAATTGCAACTACTAATTTCTCATAGCAAAGCAATTCGCGGTCAGTCGGTCGGTTTGACTTTACTTTGTATGTATGCATGTGTGTAACTGGCAACTCTGTTACATTTATCCGCATTAGAGGTCTGACTCTTCACTGCTATAATAATAATCAATTATCTATTACGAATTATCTTCTGTATAACTTTAGCCTTTTCCATAAATTAAATATCAAATTAATAATGGTTCCCCAGTTTTAATTTTTCGCAATGTCTTTTTGCGATTTTTTTAAATTGATTTGCTTCAATGGATACAATTTTTCGAAAAAGCTACGCAATTATCACGAATTTGCAATTGTGTTTACAAATAATATTTTATCTATAAAGAGAATTATTAATACGGCTAATTGGAATAACTGTAGAGTGGAATAAACATAATGTTATGTTATTTTTTATTGATAAACTTAATAATTAAAAAAAATAAAATAAAGACTAATTTCTTTATCAGTAATTTTTATGGATTATAAAAATATTGATATACATTTATTAGCTATTATAAAATTATTACAAATAATTATTAAATATAATCGATGGATTAAATGTGTCGTTGGAAAATATTTTAATGTTGTATATTCCATAGTCGTATTTTTTTTACTGGTTTATTTCACTGTACAATTTTTTCGACCAATTTTAAATAAATTTTGGAAAGATTTATAAAAGTTTCAAAGATCTATAGAATATAACTATAAAATACAAAGTATTGTTATTTCTCTTATCTAACATCGACTTCGTCGTCGTAGAAACATTACATTTTCAAGAATTCGGAAAATAAAATGCATTCGTTCGATAGCAAAGATTTCTGCGACAGAGAACGTAGTTTGCCGAGTGCACTTCGTCTCCCGGATTTCTAGACTGCGATTAAAAGTGTCCTACTTTCCGGGCAGCGAGTGTTTCTCCCATTGTGTCACGATCTTAAAAGCTCGCGGATCAATCAGAGTTGGAGACATTTCCCACGAACACCGCACTACCTGCGCCCTTTGTTGCTCATCTGAGTTCTTATTTCATCGTGTATCCGTTAATCGATTTAAGGGCAGTACTTTGTGTATATAGTTCTCCTTTGTTACAAAACAAAACTCATCTTCAGCTACAAAAGAAAGCTTGAAGTAAATTATATGACAATCTAAATTGAAAATACTGATCAAAAAAAGTTATTTGACGTTTTTGTAAAAAAAAATTTATTATATTGAATTTAATTTTAATCTAAAAATATAGACTTGTGATTTTTTAGAATATTTAACATACGTATATCTCTCATTATATGTATGTGAATTCTGACTTATATATTTTACTGCCATTACGAATTTATCGTAATTTTGGTGAAAGTTGTTGAATGTTACTTATTATTAAAATTAATAATAACCCCGATATTAATATTTTAATTATCCAATGCTCGACCAAGGAATCTCAGCCTAGACTTGTCTAAAGTAAATCAGAGCAATTTGACCCACGCATTTATGTAATATCCATTTCGTGGACGGTAGACGGACGCAATCGTGTTTGGGTAGCGAGTACATCGTTTCGGCACGTGTCGGCTGGGCCCCGTCGAAATATATTGCACTTTCGGGACGCGAGGTCAGCTGCGACTGTAATTTCGGTACAACATTTATCTCGCGGCCTGTGCCGCGGCTGAGATCTTTATTGAGTTGGATTCGAATATATATTTCGTTTAAACGGTTGCGTAAACTACGCAAAAACTACACGTTGCACACTCTGGCACTCTGGCAATCGTATGATCAGATTTTTTTTTCACACAATGCGTAATTGGACTACGCAACACACGATTCAGTACAGAATCGAACACTAGATTATGAATCACATTTTCTGGCGTCTGGTTATTTGAAATATAAAAAAATATGAAATAATAAAAATAATATATAAACGAAGAAATGGGAAGGAATATATTTTATAAATAGAAATTCTAATAGAATGTTTAATGTAGATAAAATGATTTGTCTTGGTGCCATTATTTAGATTAAAATTTAAAAATTTTTCACGCATAGCAATTTTTTAAATTGCTATTTTATTTTTGCTTCAACTCAAAACTGTTGTAGTTCTTCTTTTGAAATAAATTAAAATAATTTTAAAATATTTTAAATGATATTTTTATTATGAGTTTTTATATACTCTTTTAACGCAAAAATTTACGTAAATTTACTAATGGCAAGGTATTAATAATAGTTTTTGTAATAAAACACACTTTTCGTTTAACATAATTTCATTTAATTACCAATTTTAACAACTGTATTAACAAAAAGTAGTAAAAAATCTGAGTCTTGTAATAAAAGTACGAGCCTTTTAAATCGCTTTTAACGAAGTGAGTATTCACGCAATCGGCTGATCCGCGCAGTTACTTTACGAAACTCGTTAAACATTCATCCAACTGAATTTTTTAATTGGCGGCTGCACATGTGCCGCATTTCGTCTGAATTCCTTAAATTTTCACCAGCTAGCGAATGGATTTTTATCAGTGCATCGCCGAAAAGAATTCGATGTGAGCCTTTCTAGATTGCGGGGAAGTATTGTAGATCGATTATCCCACCCCACAACTATATAGATTAATTTTAGAACGCTCAATTATTATGTTGAAATTATTTTTATTTTATGAGAACTCTGTCTACAAAGAAAGAATGTGTAAGCTATATAACAGTAAAAGTCACTTATTGCGATATAATTCCGCGATTCTAATTCCTTTTTATAATGTATTCGTTATTGCTGTGCTATTATTATTAATACTGCTATGATATTCCATCTACTTTTTCCATTACTGCAAAATTTGTTAATAATCCTTTATCGAAATTTATTACTATAACGCTGTTCCAATTTTTTTTATATATCTTTTTTATATACCTCTCCATGCGATAAATTTTATTCAATTGAAAAATTTAAATTGACGTAATCTATAATTTTGTGGATAAAATTGTGTATGCAGAATGCAATACATCAATATCTACACATATATGGAACAATACTTATGTTTTAAAATACATCTAAGCACAATTTTGTTATATGATAGTACTTATTTTTATGTTTAATGTCTATTCTTAATTTCAAAATAGATTTATATATAGGTATATATTTTTTTAACTCAATTTCTAAAAAAAATTTCATTATTTTTTAACTACTAAACTATGTTTTGTTTTTATAAATA